GGAGGGAAAGTGAAGCAGCGCACAATGCAGCGGGAGACCCCGTAGAATGCAGTGGGAGGCCATGGTAAAGGGGGGGGAATGAAGCAGCGCACAATACAGCAGGAGACCCCGTAGAATGCAGCGGGAGGCCCGTGGTAACAGAGCGGAAATGAAGCAGTGCAACAATGCAGCGCGAGGCCCGTGGTAACCGAGTGGCTGATAAACAAACACAGGCACAGTGTTTCTTTTTTAAAAATAAAATTCTTTCACAAATTCCCTGCAAATTTCCTGTGTGCATTCAATGTATCTTATCACAGTCACCCCCGAATCTTACTGCGTCCTTCCGGATCCAGCCCTACTCCCCATTCCACTTCCTAAATTCATGTCCTCTTAAAAAAAAAAAAAATGTTATAACTTATCAAAGGCATTTTGTGTTTCCTGTATCTCCTGGGTGTGGGACCAACCACTGAGCTTGGTTGACTACCCCAGGCCACAACCCTTAAAGAAAAGCTGTTCCTCCCTCCCTCCTTCCCTCCCATTAACCCACTAGTGCCTCCGTTGCACCTGAGGGCTCATGAGCCTTTCCTGCTCCGTGCCAGAGTGTTAACTGGCTTGATCTTGTGCGAGTCTTCTGCGGGCAGCCACAGCTGCTGTGAATTCCTGCGTAGACGCTTGCGTCATACGCCTGTACCCCTTGCAAGCCTTGGACTCAGCACTCAGGATTCAGAGGTTACACAGCCCCTGCCTTGAAGGAGCTCCAATTTGGGAGGGAGATTTGTGAGAATGAAGATTATGTACTGAGTGGGAGAGGCCAGGACAGGCTTTCTGCACAAAGCGCTGCCTACAGGAAGCTCCCACTGAGCTCCCTAGGAAGTTTTAAGGAAAGAGGAATCACAGAAACCAAGGAGGAGGAGGGCTGGTCTGGAGGTCGGCAGTTCTGCCCACAGAGCCCCACTCGCCATTCTCTGGTCTGAGAACACACGCTCCCTGTGCTCACCCTGGGTGTTCTGAAAGGGGTGTCAGTGACAGAGCAGGTGACAGAGCTTCCCCTGTGAGCACATCACACTCCCCTGTATATCACATCAGATGGGACCCGTGGCCTAGAACCTGGACCACCCTGACCACAGAGTCCAGAGACAGAGTGGCCGGTGGTTTAGTCTGAGAGATCCTGGGGATCTGTGAAGGACATCCTTGATGACTATGGCCTTGTCACCTACAAAGGTCACCCTTGAGAACAGTGCGGCCAAGTTAGCAAAATATTGAAAATGTTCTAAGTGAGCTTTTGCTTTTGTGTTAGGTCACGTTTATAGCTGTACTGGCCGCAGGCTGGACACACTTGGTGGAGTTCTTGGTACCGGATAATTGACTCCAGAAGAGTCCACCTGAATGTTCTCTGGTCTCTCTCTAGTCGCTTAACTTTTGCTGTAAAATCTATGTGCCCCTTAGCTAGACTTCCCCACGTTCCTCTTCTGCTCAACAACAGAGCCAAGGCCCATGCTGCTCCTGAGATCGAGGCAGATTCCTTTAGACAAGATGGCACCCACAGCCATATATAATTGTGTCCGCATAGTCAGGCAAGCCCCCAAAGAGACAAGATCACTTTGTATGAGGACCAGTGGAAGCCTCTGCCTTGTCCCACATCAGCATGCATGTTGTTTCAAGAACCTCCCAGCATGCCCCACGTGGGTCTGCATGTTAGTCCTGGGTGATCTTGAAGCTCTGTTGGCTTCCAAGAACAGACTGAGGACATAGCACATACAAAGTGTGCTGGCTGATGCCTGATGCTTAGGATACTGAAATGAGCGCGGTCCCTGGAGGAGGACACTGACGGACACAAGGAAGGCTCAGGAGCTCTAATGTTTGTATAAAGACAAGGCAAACAGGAGGTCCTCATGGGCATGCCAAGTGGAAGAGGTAGTTTAAGCCAGGTGTCAAAGTCAGGCTTCAGTTTAGGGAAGCAAAACCAGATTTTTATGAACAGGAAGCTTGGTAGGAGGGCAGCTGAGGGAAGACATGGGTGCAGAGAGAAAGCAAGCAGGCACACCATCTGTGAATATGTGTCACTAAGGTTCTTACACAGACGTTTGATATATCTAACTAATATTTCAAGCATCTTTCAAGATCAGTTCAAATTCTTCCTTTCTAAAAAATTAGGTTTATGTGTTTTATTTTATGTGAGAGTGTTTTCCCTGCATGTGTATATGTAGATCAAGTACATATTTGGTCCCTATAGAGGTCAGAAGATGGTGTCAGATACCCAGAACTGGAGCTATGGATGGTTTAAACCACCATGTGGGTGCTGGGAATCCAACCCAGATCCTCTGGAGCCATTGCTCCAGCCCCAAATTCTTCCTTTTCTCATTTCTCTTTATATTCAGTGCTCTGTTCAGAACACTAGACCAGTAATGGCATTTTCTAAAACGTGCTGTCTGTCCTTGGCTGGTGATCTAATCAAAGGCAGACAGCTTTTCTATCCCAAACTTGCACTAATTTCCTAATGCCCAATTTTCTACCATGAATGCCCTGAAAGAGTCGCTGCTTGCTTTGGGACCTAAGACAAACAAAGTAGCCAACAAAACCTCCATGAATTTGTCACGGATTGACAAGTCAGAGGCGGGAGAGTGCTGCCAGCTGCGTTTGCAGAAGAGGTCGGGTGGACACGCTTGAGCTTACATATCCTCCAGACATTTGAGAGTGGCAGGCATAGCTTTGTCTTCTGCTTCACACCTGAGCAGATGGTAGTGACTGCTTAGAAAAGGAGCGGGGCCAAGGTGCACCATGTGGGAAAATTAGGGAGTTACGAAGGCGTCTCCTGTGGAGTTGTGCTTTGCCTGTGCTCCGGCCAGACAGAAGACAACATGACACTTCAGGATCTTTAAGTGTGACCTGTCTGCACACAGATGACATCATGCCTGAGTGTGACCTGTCTGCACACGGATGACATCGTGCCTGAGTGTGACCTGTCTGCACACGGATGACATCATGCCTGAGTGTGACCTGTCTGCACATGGATGTCATCATGCCTGGCACACACTTCAGCCATTTTCCTGGAATGGTATGTCTAGGGAAGACCCCTTCCATGCTCATTCACTAAATGCCCCTGCTAATCAGATGATACAAACCTTATTCCAGGATGCCTGACTTCAGGACACAGTTTGTGGCTATCATATCTCAGAAATCCAGCACGCTGTCATTGACTATAGCTTGCTGGGTCTGCCTGTCAAAGCCTGTTGACCTCTTACAGTCACCTTGCCTTTCTATAACTATAAAAAAGAGCAAAATTAAAAAGAAAATCTTTGAAACAGAGTATAACAAGACTGTCAGGGCAAGTTAAATCAATGGGGCCAGTAAGAGGATTAGCAAGAAAAGGTGCTAGCAAGCCTGAAGACTGGGGCTTGACCCCTGAACCCACCCACGTGGTGGAAGTGGAGACCTGACTCCCACAAGTTGCCCTCTGACCTTCTCTTCTCAGTGATCAGTCTCTCCTTGACGTGAAGCAGAACACACACCCTTTCAGATGTCACTCAACTGAGCCCCAAACCACCTGCCTGCCCCGGCACTGCCTCACTGTTCTTCCCAGGACACTAGAATATGCCAAACCTGTCTGCCCTTGATGCTAAGCCAGTCAGGAGAACCTCAATGAGGAAGGCAGAAGCAATGGATTCAGGACCTCCCTGGAGAAAGCAGAGCCTGCCCAGAGAAAAGTATATTTCCCTGGAGCCACAATGTGTGTGTGAATACACAGCAGACAGCTGTGCACATGGTGTATGTATGACATCACAGCAGACAGCTGTTCACACAGTGTGTGTGTGTGTGTGTGTGAAGTCACAGCAGACAGCTGTGCACACAGTGTGTGCGTGAATACATAGCAGACAGTTGTGCACATGGTATATGTGTGAAGTCATAGCAGACAGCTGTACACACATGGTGTGTGTGAATACACAGCAAACAGATGTGTACACGGTGGGTGTGCAGGTGAATACACAGCACACATCTGTGTACGTGGTGCCTGTTTGAAGTCATAGGGCAGAAGTCCCCTCTTGTGGGTTCTAGAAGGCGATTCTTCCTCCTCAGAAGGAAAGAACAGAAGCTCCCTGGGGAGCCAAGTAGAGAAGGAAGCTGTGACTCCAGAGTGCTATCTGTTCCCCTCTGAGGGGTACACTGTGGCTCAGAAGTTCCCCACTAGTAACTGTCTGACAGGCAGGGTGGGGATTTCAAGTGACACGGGGCATACACTGTGATGGAGATGCCCTCCAAAAGACAGTAAAGTTGGTGGTAGC